AATATTCGATTCCTATTGATAGGGAGATGTGCTGATTAGTTTTTGGCAAAGGCAGGTCCAGCAGTTACGAAGATAAAGAGCAAAGAGTGCAGAAAATAGAAATCGAGTTTTTGAGAGAACGGAGCATCCGATTTGAATGATCTAAAAAACATTCAATTAGTAATGATTGGGAGAAGTGTTTATTAGTTTTTGGCAAAGGCAAGCCCAGCCATTTCGAAGATACGGAGCTAAATGTGCAAAAAATGGCAGTTTTTGAGAGAAATAAGCGTCTGATTTAAATGATTCAAAGAACTTTCTGCTTGTCTTAAAAAAATAATTGATTTTGGGAAAAAAAATTTGTTTCGACTTTTTTTTTTCAATTTTTTTTATTTTCAAAGAAAAATTTTTTTGTATATAGAAAATAATTCAGATTTTATTTTTAATTCTGACTATAGTTCTAATATACTTTAAACAAATAATTTCAACTTTGCAATTCAGTTCATATAATTCTTATAAATATTAGACATTGTTACAATATTAATAATAATCTATTTGAAAACATTCAGTATTCCTCGAACATTTCGTTACGGTACGGGAAGTTCCAGCAATTTGCCTTAAGGCACGATGCCATACACCCAACTAGTTTCATTACAGTATGGAAAGTACCAGCAATTTGCCATAAGGCACGATGCCATCATGCACCACTATGATTATTTTGAGTATATTTTCTGTTTCGATGAGTAACTTTATATTAAAACCAAATGATTTATGCTGTTTGTTATCAACTTATACAGTTTAATATTATCTTGGAGTTTAGATTTTGCTTTCCCAAGACAAATAATTGCACTCTCTCTCTTGACACATAACCAGTGTTTCGAAATTAACTCAACGCTTCGGTCATGTACACACTTCAAAACGACAATTTATTTTGACAACTTTGACAGACATAGTAAATTATAATGTATGTTCCATATATACAAGTCAATGCTTATTATAAAATTAACAGGCGTACACTACTGGATAAGCTCCAAGATGTTCTATTTGTAGAATATTTTATGTGTTTGCGGACACAACTATAACTTCTTCCTTAATATAATATGTGTAAATAAACAAAGATATCCGTAAACTCGTAAAATGTCTATGGAAGACATCTAACGCCTTGAGCATAAAATGGTTTGAATAAAGATTTCCAATATATATTATAATATATATTGTTTTATATATATATTATATATAAAATAATGATCTTGTTTTTTAACTGCCCGTAGGGTAAGTATAGTAATCGCACAAAATAGAAAGTCATTTTTTTATGTATCTTAACGTTTCAAAAGTTTCTGAACATATTGACATACTTTAGAAAAAAATTATGTGCATATGTGTAAATATAGGGCAAAAAGCGGTTAAAAGTCAGTTTTGAGAGAACGGAGCGGTCGATTTGAGTTATTACATACATCATCAAAATATGATAGAATTCGATATTTCTTCAAACACAAAGATCTTCAAGGAGTCAACTTTTGCTGCAAATCCGATACATCAACTAGAAAACTAATAGCTTTCATTTAAAATCTTTGTCACATACGCCTTGGCTTGTGTAAAACAAAGACCCTAACCGGGTAATATAAACTTGATAATTACTAGAACGTATACTGTGTCTTAGAAACTTCACCGAACTAAAGCAAAGTTTACCACTAAATACTGGACACCGTACTTACTTCAAGGAAAGCATCTGACCCAGAAAAGTAAAGAATTTTCATTCATACTCTCTAAGAAATTAAATTAGTTTCAACTTTTAAAAACATAAAATTATTAAATAACTAAAAGTTGTGTAAATTATATGAAAAATTATAAGGGTTTGCTTTTTTATATGAAATCGCAATTACTTTCATTATGCATGATAAGAAATAAATTTTGTACATCTGGGATGCTGCATTTCGATGTCGAAAAATATTAAATTTTAGCAGTAAGGTCGGAAAGTATTAAATATGGCAGTTTTAGAATTGTATTTTGATTAATTTGGATATAAGATATTGACTGAAGAAAAGATACATAAAAATCTTTGATGTAAGCATTCAGAAGACTCCAGATTGTAAGCGTTTTATATTAAAACTTAGTAATATATGAATAAGTCAAGCCAGCTTATACTAGTTAAATTAAGTATAATATAATAAACATATTTCTTAAGTAAGATAATGTATGAAAATGCGAAGAATTTGGTAGAATATTTACGAAAAAAGTCACATTTCATTATTGAATACTGTTGCAAATGCAAACCGAAACCACGATTCTATGTTTGCTCAAACAAAAATAAATTTTAAATTGATTTTATGTAAGTATATGCCGAAAATAACTAAGAAAATACAAGTTTTTTTTTTGTTAAACTTACAATACATGTTTTTTTGTATTCGAAAACAGTTGGTTAATAGTTGACCGTTGTTGATGATTTTATGCTGCCTAAATTTGCCTAAATTTTGCATTGCAAAGGAAATCAAATTTATAGAGAAGAAGAAGAAAATAAGTTATTGAATTATATTATATATTATATAATATTGAAGCATTTGGACAAAACAAGAGTTTTGCTGAAAGTATTTTCAGCATTGACAAGATTAATATTTCTAATTGCAAGTACGTATTGTTTATGATATTGTAATTTTTACATCTATCGTGAAATGGACAAGAAGTAAATCTGTGTGAAAAAAATTGACTTAAAAATACAAATTTTTTTAGCTATTGTCAAAGATTTCAAAAATTGACTTGTTTGTAATATAAACTTTGCTTCGATATTTCGTTTCTACACAGCGCGATTGCTTTGAAAAAAGTTCAAAATTTCCAAAATATTTGAAGACAAAAAAAACAAAATTCAAAAAAGCACCTTTTGCGTCTCAAAAATCCAATTTTTTCGAAGTTAAAAAAAAATAGTATGATTTTCATAAATTTTAATTTATGGTACTGGGAAATCTGGCAATTTACACTAGTTACCACGAAATTTGATTGCTTAATTGCGCTAAATTTTGAGTATATCAAGGACATCCATCGGGAAGTTTCGGAGATGCATGAAAAATTCAAACTAGTGGGGTGCATGACATTGTGCCTTAAGGCAAATTGCTGGAACTTCCCGTACCGTAATTAAAAATCTTGGTACAGAACCCAGAAAAATTTACACATTATGATAATCTCTATAAAATATCTGATAATTTGATGTGCACAAGTCCAATAAACATTTTTGACCGCCGAATGACTTTTTTTTTAACTTGTTTTCATTGAGAGTCCATAACCTCTGGACCTGCCTTCCCAAAAATTTAATCAGTTCTTCATCTTGTCTAAATGTTTTTCCGATTATTAAAATCGGACGCTCCGTTCTCTTAAAAACTGAGTCACCGTTTTTGGCACTTTTTGCCCCGTATCTTCAGATCCGCTAGACCTGCCTTCGCCAAAACTAATCTGTCTCCTTATCAATACGAATCGAATGTTTTTGAATTTGTATCCTTACACACCCACA